GGAAGAGGCTATGTGAGCAGTCATAAACATTTACTCACTCTCTGGGTCAGCTCCCACCTTCTCTTTCAGGTCTTCTTGTCAATGAATAAAGAACAGAAACTCACCGAAAGGTGCTTAGCAATGCGTGTCCCTGGAAAGTACCCCTTAGGACAGGCGATATTTAAGTAATTAATTAAACAGTGACTTGCTGTGGCGATGTGTTTTTAAAGGAATCAGAAAGAAACATGTGTTTTTGACAGAAATAGGGCCCATAGTGTGATTTTTCCAAGTGGTTTAGAGCTGTGGATTCACGTAAGGTTTCCTTGCAAGCTGCCCACAGTGCTGCAGTTCCAGCTTCCTGCTCTGGGTCTCCCTGAAAAGCCTGATGGGGCTGTGGCACTGAAAATGCTATTATTGTCCAGGGCCAAGAACTTAACACGGCTCCCCCTCATTGGGGCCTGAAGCCTCAATCTGCAGGAAGGTGGGAAGGGCAGGGAGGCCGACCACTGGATCATGGTAGACAAGGGAGTGTCATCCAAAAGCCAGGACTTTTACTCTGTCTGATCAGACAAGGACAAAGTGCATGCCGTGATCTGCTTCCCTTAGAGTCCTTAGGAGTCTCTGCCAGTTGTTTTGGTGGATATTTTGAAGCAGTAAAAAAAAAAAAGTAGGGGCAGAAGTTGACTAATTCTGCCCAGAATTTTTGTCCTTAACATTCTTCTTGAAATATTCAGTTTACTAAATAGGATAGAACAATGTTATCTTGTATTTATAAAGAAGCAGTATAGCACTAAAACCAGGATACCAGTATCAGCCTTACAAGGATTAAAAGAGATAATGTATACAAAGTAGTTTTCTGAGTTCTTTTTGTTTTTATAACTGTAATGGAACCAAACCGTTCTTCTGTTGTATTCTGATAAGGTTTTCCTTTTAAGGTCACAGGGTCAGGCTACTCGCACTACGGGTAGGTCTAAGTGTCTTGAGGGGCTGGACATTCTTGATGTTAATTATCCAGGGAAGGGATGTAGCCTCAGTTGGGAAACTGGAATCAGACCAGAGAAGTAATTCCCTCCGTCTTATTTTGCTGGGTCTAGAGCGCAAGGATTCTGAATATGCTTAAGGTCACTCCTGCTTGGTATAGTTTAAAAATGGCTGGGTGGAAACCAGAAAGGGGCCACAAACTGAAGACGGTGACCTCTATCATGTGAACTAGGTCCCAGATTCTAGAAGTGAAGAGTGTGAGGCCTGGTGTCAGACCGCCTCCCACTGTGTAGCTGAAGCATTGGAAAAGCAAACTCGCCACGTGGAATCTGAATCTCAGGAAAGAGGTTGGGGTTTGACCTCTAAATGCTCCTTCCTATGTGGAAGTGGGGTTTATTTCATTTAAGGAGAGTAGATTTCCTTGCAGGTTCTTTTCAAAACTTTCAGTTTTATCTATTGAGTCTCTTGAAAATATTAAGATAGGTAGTTTGGACATTGCTCTGACTCTTTCTCTGAGGTAACTAAGTTTTAAAGAGATTATATGACTTGCTTAGGGTCAGGTCAGTTCTGGCAATGACAGGAAAATCGTTTTTGTTTTTTTAACTTATTCCTAACTAGTCCAAGGAGACTTCAATGATTTCCATACTAGGAAAGTAAACATGAAGATTTTTTTACTACCATTTTGCATTATTCATACCACTTACCCTTTCCACTTCACCCATATCTTAGGTAACTGAATCAATTGTATTCGGAAGAAACAGAAGTTCTGTGTCTCTCATGGGCACGGAACTAACACCTATGGGCACAGATTTAACTCACAATACATTCAAACATGCAAAAGGACATAACTTGTTCATAGCCATCTGTCTCTACTGAATAATTGATCAAATAAGTGTTATTGTCTAAAACTATGCTCTTGCTTTTCTGAATTAGTACTAAGGTTGTATTTATGATCCCATGAATGGGATCAAAAATATTTTTTCCAATTCTGTATTTCTGACAAAATCACTGAGATCCTTAAGTGAAAGAATGTTTTACAAAGTTACTCAATTTATAGTTCAGAAACAAAATATACTCTAAGGAACAGAGATGGGTGTAGTTAGTTTGCCATTGTCCTAAATAAGCTAATAATACTTAACAGTTAAAAGTGTATAATCGGAGGTCAGGTTTCCACAACCAAACAAAAGTGGAAAGTTGAGTCAAATATCAGCATAATGCAGATAATTACTCATTGGTATTGTGGGCCTTCACTTTGTTTTTCAACTGATCATTTTTTCACTTTGTGGAACGTTTTCCAGAATAATTATATACTTTTATGTCTAATTAATCCATTGAAAAGTATATATTGAGCTCCTAATATGTGCCCCAATTTAGGCTAGGTACTGTGGGTATATAAAAGGTGATTAGCGGTGTAGAGGCCTGACCACTGCACTGTATTTCTGAAGCTGATGTTGAATAATATTGTATGTCAACTATAATTATATATACACATAGTCACGGGACATGGAGTAGAGAGTGGGAATGGAATTGTAATAGATAAGCATGATATCGGGGGTGGGAGGGCAGTACATGGGGGGAGGGGGGTTGTTACTTTGTGAGGGTGAAAAGGATAACTTGCATTGTTCTGTACATCTGAAACTAACAATAAAAAAATTAAAAAACAAAAAAAGGTGATTAGGCTCTTGTCGTCAAACCTAATTGGGGAGAGGGGTTAATTAACATGTGTTAATTTTTTTTACTCATTCAAACTTAGAAAAACAGTATTGTATTAAATATGCTGTAGGAGTTCAGAGAAGTAGAGATTAATGTGGTTTGGAATAATCTAAATAATAAGCTTTGCTTCTCAATCATTGACAAGATTAACTCCTGTTTTAATTTTTAAAATATATATATTATTTTTGACACAAAAATTAAAAAATTATTCTAGGCATTGGGGCTATATGGACAAATAAAGTGCTTCCTGTCCTCAAGAGCTTAGTTTGGTAGAAGGAAACAAGCAAACTGCTAAAAGAAGAAACAACTGGCCAAAATGGAGTCACTTTTACTGAGCCATGTTACTAAAACTTAATAACTAACTTAACTGCAGTTTCAGCCTTTCTCAGGAGTGACATTTTAAATCAGTCTGGAATTTCCTGACCAACACTAGTTAGGTAATAGGCATGATAAGACCCCCGCCTTCCTCTAAGGCAGCTGTTCTCAACCTTCCTAATGCCGCAACCCCTTAATACAGTTCCTCATGTTGTGGTGACCCCCAACCATGAAATTATTTTCGTTGCTACTCTATAACTGTAATTTTGCTACTGTTATGAATCGTAATGTAAATATCTTTGGTTTCTGATGGTCTTAGGAGACCCCTGTGAAAGGGTCGTTCGACCCCCAAAAGGGTCGCGACCCACAGGTTGAGAACTGCTGCTCTAAGGGATGGTAACCGCTGCTCTAAAGGATGGTATTTTTGCCTGAAATAACCCACTCTGCTAACGTCTTAGTCCCACCTTCTTTCTGCCTATAAAACCTTCCACTTTGTACAGTTCATCGGAGCTCCTTTCTAGTTGCTATAGTGCTTTCTGCCCAATTCATGAATTGCTTCATAAAGCCAATTAGACCTTCAAATTTACTTGGTTGAATTTTGTATTTTAACAAAAAAAAAGTCATTGCAAATCAACGTGAGAGGCTGTATGAGTACAGGACCACAGAGGAAGAGGTCTACAGGGAAAACTTCAAAGGAGATCAGGGACAACCTGGAGGGAACAAATGTGTCTATGGTGAAGGTTGGGGTAGGGAGAGAGAAGAGAAAGGCATTCCAGAAAAAGGCAAATGCAAAACAGCATATGAGAAAAGGCACAGAGAGTAGGTAGGTAACAAACTTGAGACCAAACTTGGTTTTCTACATTCATTTTTCAAAGCCCTTCATTATCTATATGGCAAGAGGGACTCTTTAAACAACTAGACCATAATGACTATGACATTTAAATATAAATGCTAATGATTACTTTCCATATTTTGGGGTGTGAAGCATTTACTGTGCACAATTGTATTCATTTTTATAAGTATCTATCTCTACTAAGGGCCCTTTTGTGAAGATGCCATCATGTATACTCAGTTTCAAAGAGAATGCTGATCACAGCACCACATGAATATGTTCTTTAGAAAAAGTACTTATTTTAATAAAAGAAGAATAGTAGTTTGCTTTAGGGTTTACTGAGAAATTATAGAACCAGAATAAAAGAAACCTAAAAACTTAGTAAAATCATTGAATACTAATACCTTGTATTTTGAAGGCCTCTTAAAATTTAGTTAACAGCTTATAAACTGTTTTTACACAACATCAAGTCATTTAAATTGGTACACATATGCACTTAAAAATCACCTAAGATTAGTTTTAAAAATATATATTCGTTTGACCCTCATTATTAGGCATATTATTCAAAAATCATCTTAAAAAGAAAATATTCTTGTCCAGTGAACTTATCGTCAAAATGAGACCAAAATGGAACATCATGCGCCATTTGCAAGTTTCAGGAAAGCGGGCTTTAGGACTTTTCCATAGTAACTTTAACTAGAAGTTGTATCCAATTTCACAACTAAGAACATCCTAACATATGTAGCCGTAAGCACAACTTGGGCCCGTTTTTGTTGCTAGGAGAACCTACTCTGTATCAGAAATTGCAGCCTTGACGACGCAATGTTTGCGCCTATTTTGCACATGTTTTTCTCCAGCTATTTCTTTCTTCTAGTAATAACAGTCTAATGGCTCTGATTTCCTCTTGCACCCGGCCCAGGTTTCCGTTTAGCCCCGGTTCTCATAGGCTGTGCTGTCGCCATCCCTGGCAGCGGGCGGCGAGCCCTGGACAGGAGCAAACGCGGAGGGCAGGAGTCGGGGCAGCTCGGCCTCCCCGCCGCAGCCAGCCGCTCCCCAGCGCGACGCGGGCTGTGGGTGGGAAGGCGGAGGAGGCGGGATTGCGGGTGGGCTCCGTCACCCCCTCGGGAGCCGGGCGCTTCACCCAGCTCTCCAGTTGCGTTTTGAAATCTGCAGTTAAAAAAAAAAAAAAATCGAGTAACGCTACATCGTCCCAACAGGAGGGGTGGGGGAGAGCTGTATGTCTGATGTCCCCAAACGGATCAAAAATAAGGGAAAGGAGGCTTTCGGAACTTTATTAAATAACTCCTCTGTGTCAGAGAAATCAAGGCTCAGGCTCCGCTTGTGCAGGGAAACCGCTCCAGCCGGTGGGGGCGGCGGGACGGGGCTCCCGGTCTCGCGGGCGCGAGGGGGTCGCGGCGGGAAGTGGGGGAAGGGCGCGTGCTCGGGGCCGCCCCTCCCCCAGTCCAAGGGTCCGCTTCCCTCCGGGTTCGGGCGGCGGTCCTGCAGGCCCGACTCGCCGCGGGGACTGGCGGGGCAAGGACGCCGCGCCCCAGGGTAACCACAGTCATCGCTCAGGCAACGGGCTCCGCACAAGATGGCGGACGATAAAGAAAGGGAACGCACAGGTAAGCGGCTGCCCTCGCCGCCCGCCTCGACCCGGGCCGCGCTGGGAGGCGCCGGGTCACCCTCCGTCGGGAGCTCCCACTGCAGGGCGCGGCGACTGAGGAGGGGGCCGCGCCCCCCTGCCCCCCCACACCCCGGGTTCCGGGTTGGGCGCGCCGGGGGATGGCGCCCGGAGGAGGAGGCCGGCGCAGGGCCGCCCGCCCGCTCCCCCCGCCCCCCTTCTTCGTCCCTCCCCCGGGGGACCGAGCCTCGGTTCCAGCCTGGGTTGCGGCCCAGGCGCTGGCGGGGGAGGGTAATAATGGCGTCCTTGTTCACGGTCGCGGGCACCCCTCCCCCAAACCCTCACCCCGGCTCTCCGGGCCGCAGGCGCCACGCCGGCAGCTTCCGGAGCTGTGGTCCCCGGGCCGGCCTGGGTGAGGACGGGCCTGGCCGGCGGAGGCTGGCGGGTCCTCTCCGGCCGCGCCGCAACCCCGCCCGGCCCCAGCCGGATGGCTTCCGCGGCCACCATTTTGCTTCTTCACTGGGGACGTGGGAGGACGGCCTCGAGGTCACAGTTGTCCCCTCCGCGCCTCCAGGCTCCGAAATGCCTGCCCTGCCCGGCCCGGCGCCGCGCCATCCGTCTGGGGTTTTGTCTTAAAACACGAAAACAAAACACAATCTAGACGGAAGAGCGATGTGCGCGGGAGCGCGCACGCGCCCCGGTGCGCCGACCCGGCGTCTCCCGCGGGCCCGCGGCGGACCGACCGGACTGCCGGGCTCCTGGTCGCTAGGTCCTTCCGTGAAGCGATTGTCCACGTTTATTTGCCAGACCTTTTAACGTTTCATCGAACAGTGTGATTAGAAGCTTGATACTTGGTTACCATCCTCTATTACTCGAAAATCATAGTCTGTTTATGTTGGGTAATTGGCAGACTCATCTCAAATCCAACATCAAAAAAGCCATAAAACTGTAGAGGCAAACACCTTAGACGTGAAGGTAATAGTCCTCCTCTGTTTCCTTTTTTGAGTGCCCTGAGCACACCCAATCAACACGCCATCTTTCTCAGCGTGGAACGAAGTGTATCAGGTTAACAATCAATATTGACAAGGGAAGAAGCCAGCTCTGAGATAGTCATTTGTCATGGTGATCACGGAAAATCAGCGGAGAAGCACAAAACCCCCCAAATCTCCCTATGGATAAGAGTCGTACTATTTGATTTTTTCATGCTACCGTTAGTCTGAAAGGTCAGAATTATTTTATAGATGTTAACGTTCCTAAGATGTCCTTATCATTGATCATACTGCTTAACAGTATAAGGTACATTCTAATAAAATTATTTTTTAAGGTTAATTTTAAAACTCAGAAAACCAAGTGACAGTTATTTTCATTAAATTCTTACAAAAATAGAGACATCATTAGGAGATAAATTAGCAAGTTAATTGTGGATATTTGTTTTTTTAACAAAAGATTTGATTAGGCCAGCATGAGAAAGCAACTGGATTATGCTGCAAATAGTTTTTTCTTTAAAAAGAAATAGATTGAGCTTTCCTGATTTTTCAGTTTTCAAAAATACTTTTGTATTTAAAAATAAATTCAGAGGAAGAAACAATTCTGTCTATAAGTATAGAAGAAGTAATGACTGTTAAAAGCTGTATGTCATTCATTCAGTGGGCATATTTAATGCCTAGCATATGGGAGGTATTCTGATTAGTTTAGAACTTTGGAGGATATGAAGATGAAAAAGCCATCATCTTTTCTCCCTAGAAAGGTAAGATCAGTAGGGGAGATAAGACATCCACAAATGGGAGGAAATAGTTAATGGGGCTGAGCAGCCAGTCTGTCAGATGCTGTCCCAGGTGTGTTATATCTCCTGGTCTGTGGGCAGCAGCCTGGGCATCCCTGGCAGCTTATTAGAAAAGAAGAATGTCAGTTCTTGCTCCTGACCTATGAAATCAGAGTCTTCATTTTAACAGAGCTGGTGATTCATATGCACATTAAAGTTTGAGAAGCACTGTTGTATGGTATATCTCATTTATTCTTAACAATTTTTTGAGTTAACTATAGTTGCAGTTGGAAGGGCATGATGAAATAAAGGCATGTTGTCTGAGGATAATCTTTGTGTGGACATTCCACTCCTATATTTGATTCTCAGCTTTGAAGGTTTGAATTCCATCTAGCCAATTAATCAGAATTGATCAGGCTTTGGGGATTCACTCAAGCTAACTAAACTCGTGAAGAGTGATGTGCAAACCTGAATAATGATTTGTTAACTTAAATAGGGTATGTTGTTTCGTTGACCAGAGAGCTGATCTCTGCAATGTAAATATATAGTTTTATGGGTATTAAGGTTTTGAGGAGGGTGAATTTATATTTTAAAAGGTACTTGATGAGCATGGATTCACACAAAAGAAAGGAAAATTTTGGAGGATATATCCATTACCCTGTAAGCTCCAAGAGGGTGGGGACCATATACGCATTGTCTTGCAGAGTGCCCAACACATGGTAGGAACTCAAGTAATATTTGTTGAATTTAGATTATTTGAATTAATTAAATATGTATCTGTTTAACCAAAGCATTACTCGCTGTTTCCCCAAAATTTATTTTCTACCTAAAAGTAGATAAAACTATTTTTAGGTTTTTTTTCCCCCCTCTTCATTACAAGTAGGCTTATTTCATCTGGCTCAACAAACAATTTTTGAAAGCCGAAGTATTTACTGGCCTATCTGTAAAAAACAACAACTATAAAAATTCTCTTCGTAAAAATATATTTATGTTTTTAAATAGTTCATCTTTAATCTTGAGATTTTTTTTTTAGTTGTAAAGGAGGATTAAGTTTCTGAATAGCCATCATATCCAGCTCTTCTTCAACATTTAGGAATTAATCTTGATATAAGTGTTGAGAATGTTGGTTAAAAAAAGTTAATTAGAGGGCCAGCCAAGTGGTGCGTTGCATAAGAGCTGGCTTGGGACCCCAGAGGACCCGGGTTCGGATCCCACATATGAGGGCCAGTGACACTGCCCTCTACAGCTAAGATGCTGAACAACAGCTCAACCTGGAGCTGGGCTGCCGTGAGTCGCCAGCATCTGCAGGTGGGTTGCCATGGGCTACCTTGTGTAGCCAGCAGCAGCTGTGAGCGGCCGTCCAGAAGCTGGCGACTGATCTGCCTCACCCGGGAAGAGCGCAATGATGGTGCCAACTTGGGCCAGTGAAACAACATCCTCCACAACTAGACTGAAGAACAAAAGGACAGCAACTTCTCTGTTCTCCTTCCCCCAATTCTCCAATAAAAATCTTAAAAAAAAAAAAAAAGTTAACTACATCTATGACAGGGACTATTATGTTCTATTTATAAAAATTTTCTGTAAGATTATGTTGAAATCTAAATCTATGCTTATTTGTAGCATTTTTGTGCTTTAACATAGTACAGTTTATTTTTTCTACATTAAAAAATGTTTGTTTAAATGGAGAATCAATGCAATAGTTGATTCTTTGGATCTTTAAATCTTATTGTGTCTGTCTCCTAGAGAATTTTATGTAGGACTGGACGGATCTTCTGTTTGTAATTAGAATCATGCCTAGGAAACAAACTGCTTAGGAATAAAATTCTAAATAAACATAAACCCGTAGAGGGGGGAGCCAAAAACAGGCAAACCAAATGGATGTGTAAAACCCTGGGAAGGCACAGGACTGGAGGCAGCAGCCATCTGAAGGCATGTATGTGGAGTGAGGGTAAATATAGGAGGTTTGGTTGAAAGTCATAAGGCAGGTGGTTGAATCTTCCATCCCCTGGAGTAACCAGGTGATCACTTCCCTTCCAGAAGACTGGAAGTTCACTCTCTGATGACCTTAAATCCGAGACTTAGAATTTAGGGATGCCTGGCACAGATGATGGTAGAGGGTGATGTGCCGTGATTATTATCATTACCATCTTGATATAGTAGCTGAACTGTTAAAAGTTGTGTGAAATTCAATATTATCATATAGATTAAATATTCTGAGAAGGACCCAAGATGATAAACCTGAAAAGTGGTAGTATGTCTAATAGGATGTCAAAGAGATGGGGATTTGAAATTCTCTTTTTTCAGATCTTCGTTAGTAATGAGGAAAAGGAGCTATGTCCCTCTTTAATAGATTAGTGAAAGATTTGCAGTGGTAACTACTTTATAAAATAGCACTAAAAGCTTCAAAAGAAAAGTGAATTCAGAGATTAAAAAGCTTTAGGTGAAAACAGTAAATAAACTGAAATTTCATATGAAACTGCAATAGAACGAAATGAGAGGGAAACTGTCAGATGTGACCTCAGTTTCAAAGACTTTTATCTCCATTATACCTCAGCTGCCCACTTCCATGGCCAAACTGGATTTGGCCATGATCTAGAATTCTGCCACCTCTGAAATCTTAAATTCAGATATTTCATTCTTGGATTATACCTTATTCATCACTGGTTATTTAAAAACTAATTTTGGACTAGACTTATTGAGATGATTGTAAATTATATAAATGTCTAATCACTATGTTGTACACCTGAAACTAACGTAATGTATGTCAACTGTAAATGAAAAATTAAAAAAAATAATTTTGTAGTTTTATGAAATAATTGTAACTTTGTGAAGTAATTTCAAATTTACAGAAAAATTGTAAGAATAGTAGAGAATCACCCTATTCCCTTTGCCCAGATTCACTAATTTCAACATTTTGCCACATTTTTATCGTTCTCTCATGTATGTAATGTAATACATATTGTAATATAACATGTAAGATAACATTATATATGTATATTTTTTTACTTGAAACATTTGAGTTATGTTACACATAATCATGCCACTTTATCCCTTAATACTTTGGTGTGTATTTCCTAGGAACAAAGATAGTCTCTTATGTAAAATCCCTATGAAGTTTAGCATAGATACAATTTTTGTATCTAATTCTACAGTCCATATTCTAATTTTATCAGTTGTCCCAGTTGTCAGTAGTGCCTTTTATAGCATTCTCCCCTCTAGTACAGGTTTCAGTCCAGGAT